TGCTGAACGGGCCCCTCGGACCCTCCAGTGAAGACAGACGAAGGCCAGACGGGCCCCTTGGGCCCTCTGGCTGTCAAGGCATGAGACTGGACGGGCCTCTCGGGCCCCCCAGCAGACACTGGAAAAGGTCAATGCACAGAGAAGCTAGATAATTGTGCAGCCACTGGTTGTGGTGAGGAAAACACAGCACTTGTCTGCTGCTGTGGTGACACAGGTGAGAGCCTGAACATGCCGACTCTTACTCCTGTAGCCGGCGAAGGAAGACCTGCCTCTCCGCAGGGCTGTGGTGATAATGGTGAGGTAGAGCAGGTTGAGGCAGTAACAAAGTTCTTTAAACCCTCAGGCAAAAAATCCAGAAACCTTGGGTTAGCCGTGGCTATCTGGGTCATCTGAGCCCAAGTAGCCTTCTTCTCCTCCTCCTGTTTGCCTGCAGAGGAAATAATCCAAAGTCCGTGAGGAATCGTAACACGAATCTTGAATTCAAAAAAGTCTGTGAAATAAATGTCCGCTGGGTCCATCATGGTCAGGTCGTTCTGTCACAGTCTGGCGAGGGCAGACTGTATGAATTGACGAGAAGGACCCAAAACGTTAGTGATGTGACGTTCTGTATCGAGGCTTCGAAGCTTGTGTCGAGTAATTTAGGGGGTGTTTCCGCGATGCGCGTATCAAGGATTGCTTCATTTATGGGAGGAGCTGAAAATGATGACGTCCGAAGCCTCGCTGCCCGGCTGTACCACATGACTGGTTCATGAAGTGGTTCGAACTTTGCCACGAGCTATGACAACGATATAAACCCCTCAGACTTCATTCAAGATGTGGGTGTTTGATGGAGAGTTTGGAGACAGTTTGGAGACAGTTTGGAGGTTTGTGAGAGTGAGGAGAGAAAGTCAGGAGAAAATGGAGCCAGCTAAGAAGAGGAGGATGTCCTCCCCTGTGTGGGAACATTTTGATCTTATTCCTCCCAACAAGGTATGTAAATTTCTACAGAAGATGTATTTTCATAATACTGATGGTGCAATACAATTTATGTTAAGCGGCTTTACTTTTGTACAAGCTGAAGTGTTTGCTATGTGCCAGGGAGTTGGGATATAACAACAACACCTCACCCATGCTTAGGCACTACATAGCTTTGCATGAGAATAGGGGGAACACCGATTGTGGAGCAAGACCAGGTGAACCATCAAATGCCATGATAATATAGCA